CCAGATAGGTACGCACCGCGCCCTTGATCAGGTCCTCCTTCGTGACGTCGCCAAAGCTGTCGCCCAGCTTGCCGACACCCTTGGGCGCCGAAAACTTCTGGTCCACGCACCCGCCCTCGGAGCATTCGTAGGCGTCGCCGTCCGGGCTGGCGAGGTAGTACAGCTTCCCATTGTAGCACGCGCCGGTGGCCTTCATGGTCTCGTCCGAGAGGTAGTCATCCAGCGGGTTCGATGCGTCGCAGCCGTAGCCCGAGTCAATGACGAACGCCCACGCGCTCGAGGCATGCCAGAGTGCGGGGATGGCATAGGCGAAATAGGACTTTTGAATGTTCGACAACAGCGTAGTGGCGTCCACAGTCCCGTTGACCGATTTGGGATACAGGTTACCATTGGCAATGGCCTTGCCAATGAGGCTGACCGACTCGGAAGAGCCGTCAAAGATTTTGGTGAGGGCGAGGGACGTAACTGCAGCCCAGCCGTCAATGACTTGGCCCATGTAGTTGGAGAACTTGTCCTGATCTTTAGGTGTCCAGTCTGATCCGTCCGCGTCTGGCAGCAGGTCTTTGGCAATGGTTGTGCTTTGGCCAATCAGAGTCATGCTGGTATCCTTGAGGTTGTCTAGTGACTTGGCAAACTTCGGCAGAGACTTGAGAAACGTGTTGAAGAAGGGCCCTGCGGCAGAGAGTGTTCCCAGAGTGACGAGATCGATGATGAGGAGGAGCCAGGTATTGTCCTCCTCAGGAGGGATCGGCGCAAAAGTGTTCTCCATATCCTTGAGCGCGGCAACGAGGCCTACAGAGGCCTTATATAGAGCGTCATAGTATGTGGCGTGGATTTTCCGGATCGTGATGATCGAGTTCCAAATCAGCTGCGCCGCTGGGCCCGAGTACTGTCCGTCCATACTCTTGGAGCATCCGTCTGTACTGCAGTCACTACCCAGGACGCCGCCGCAGTCGTCCGCGCCGGCCTCAATCATGAGTGTTGCATGGACAGAAGCGAGGAAACTGGTGTCATTATAGGGTTGATCCGTCTCTTTCCAGATCCTTACAACGTCCTCCCATGCCGCGTCCGCGTTGAGACCCTGCCAGAGCTCCTCGACATCCCGGTGAAGCTGGTCCATTGCGTAAATGTTCGTGCAGTCGTAATCGGTCCAATTGCCGTTACGGGTGTAGTCCGACTTGGGATCCTGCCCGCTGATGGCGAGCTGCTTGAACTGCGCCCAGTCCTTCGCGGGTGCGGGCACGTCGTGGTATTTCTGCAAGTCTGTCGCCCAGTCCGTGGTGCCGCCCATGCCCCAGGCAGTGTAGAGCGCCGCGCGTGTCTTCTTGGTGCTGGCGCTCATGTAAGCGACGTACTCGCCGTCGTCGTAGACGAGCACGTCGCTGTTGCTGCTGGCATCGAGAAAGCTCGTCACCACACGGCCGGCGCGGCGCCTGTCGCTCATGATCTCGGCAATCTCGGCGTCGGCGATGTAGCCCGCTGTTCCCGTGCAGACGCCCTTAGCCGCCTCCGAGTTGAGCCGGTCGCCGGTGTATAGGCAGTCCGGGCCCCAACAGCTCGGGTCCGCCATTTTGAAGGATCGTCCGTAGCTGGTAACGCCGACGACAACCTTCTTGCCCGGCACGCCGGCTTTGGTAATCATGGCTAGAGATTGCTTGGTCTCCGTCAAGTTTACCTGGCTGCGTAGGCAGTTGCCCATGTCGCACCCTTCCTGTGAGTTTGCGTTGTTGGCATCCCATTGGCCGTGAAGATCATATGTCATGTAGACAATATAGTCAATGACCTTGCCGATGGCGTTGATGGGGTACTGCTTCAGGTACCAGTACGACGAGGGCGCCGCGATGGAGACGGTCTTACCAGGTAAGAGGTTCTTCAGCAGCACGAGGAAGGCCAGGTAGTTGGGGCCATCGTCTTCGCTGGCGGGCGGGATGCCGGGAAGATCAGGCGCACCGGGGTATTCCCAGTCGATATCGACGCCGTCGAGGTTGTGTTTCTTGATGTAGTTGGCAATGTTCGTTGCAACTTTGAGGCGGTTGGCCGGCGTTACGGCCTCACGGAAGATCCAGTAAGTGTCAGGGAAGGTCGAAAAGTCCCAGCCACCAAAGGACAAGATCTTCTTGGGTCCATTGATGCGCTTGAATTGTGTGAACTGGTACGAGGACAGTATGTCGCCAACCTCTACCTCAAAGTCGGCTGTCAAGGTGCCAAAGGCAAAGTGGATGTGTGTGTACGCTGACGAGTCGATCTGCATAGCATCCTGGTAGAGACACTCACGTCCAAGGCCATAGCCTTCGAAGTAACCGATCCTGATACTGCCTGTGCCATCGCCTTTGACCACGTCGGTACCGCAGTTGGAAATGCAGCCATAGGTGCCCGGCTCAGCAGTTCCAGGGGCTCCCGTGTTGGTGTCGATGCAGAAGTCCTTGGTGATACCGCACTGGCCCCAGATGTTACAGCAGGCGTTCAAAGGGCAGGGATTGAGCTTAGCAATATCCGACCCATCAGTCGGCGGCGTCGTACCAGGTTTCTGAGGACCACAGTTTGCGTTAGCAATCTCAGCGGGGAACGGCGGCGTCCCATCACTGAGACACATGATGGTATCCGTGAAGAGTAGCTGGCAGCCGTTCCAGCCCCAAGTCTTCTTATTAAAGTCCTCAAGCTTCTGTCTCGTGAGACTGTACTCGGCAGCAAGATCGTCGCAGTTATCGTTCGCCTTCACCTGGTACGAGTAGCATGAGCCGTCCGAGTTCTTGTCCGGGCTGAAGTCAGGCATGTCGCCGGTGGAGCAGCAGACGTGCTGCTTCGGTCTCAGAGTAGCACAGAAATCCGATGCCGAGTTGATCTTGGTGAACTCAGCGGCCGTGATGCCACACTTTGTGGCCAGCGCCGCGCAGCTGTCGCCGGATTCGACCTGCACAGTTCTGCATTCTGCGCGGGCATGGAGTCGGCTGTGGGCAGTGCCGTGAACACGCTTGGCTATTGTCGAATTGGTGGTGCCGTTCGTGGGAATCGTGCCATTCGAGGGCAGAAGAGGCGTGGTAAATTTGACTTGGCCACCAACGCTGATGGAATCCTCGAAGGAAAGGCAAGTAGCATTATCCCACGTCTTCAAGGCGTCCTGAATCGGGCCGAAGGAACCATTACTCAAGAGCATCAATCCAAAGATGTGAGTGCTGTCGTAGCCTGGCTCGCAAAGTTGCATGGCCAGGCTTGGTGTTGAGACGTTGAGAGTAGGCAAGGTATCGTGGAGATTCTTGAGGGCCGATTCGCCAATGCCTTGGTTCAGCAAACCTTGGCCAATGTAGAGTCCGACTGTGGCTTGCCCAGACTGACCAAACATGATGAAGGGTCCGTCAGTCTCGCCATGCCCATGATCAACATAGTTGCGCATCTGTTTGATCAGAGAGCGAAGGCCGGCGGTGGCTTGGCCAAAACCCTCTTGCCACCATCCAATTTGAAAGTCGACGTCGACTGACTCTGATGATGGAATGCGAGCGGTCGATGCAGGCAGCTTGGAGAAATCAGGACCATATGACGAACAGGCATGGATGCGATGATTAGCCGCCTTGTCGTCAACGGGGTCGAAGAGAGAGAAGCGGTAGAACATGGTCTGCTTGCATTTCTGCATGTGCTTGAAGTCGGGATAGACCGACCAGTTCCCAATATTAGGACCAGAGACACTGCAACGCTCTGGGCAAGTTTCGAAGCTGCTGTAGGTAGGGCTGGAGGGAAGTCTCAGCCCGGTCCGCGACCTCGCTGAGGCTCCTTCAGTCAAGAAGCCAACAGCCATAAGGCCCGCGGTGAGCCATGGCAAGTGCATATTGGCTCTAGAGGCTAACGCCTCGTACAATATGAGTCAGGGGGTAAAGAAATTAGGAAGTTGGTTGAGATGGTAAGGACGAATAAGAGTCAAAATGCAAGATAGATAGGAGACAAAAGATTGGAAGGAGCGTATTCAGTTGACTCGTTTTGGTAACTGTAGTTGTTGACAGCGCAGCAGCTTTATATCATTCACTCGGTTGAGATAGACAAAAGTCTATCCCCCAAGCCAACACTCAAACCACGACAATGAATCTTCCTCGCATCCGATCAAGCACAGAGTTCTGAATCCCGTTCGGATTCCACTTTGATCCCAACCCGCCCCCATAACCTCATGATATCGATCGATAACAAGTTCCAAATTGCGAGTAAGCACTATTGAATCCATGAACGGCCAGAAGGCAGCAAGAATTCCACTTCAACGCAACACAAAACCTCCATTCCAACTGTCTGGAGGTTGCGATATCCTTGCACTTTTCGGGGGCGAAAAGAGCTGCCTCACGACCTTTGCCTCAAAATCACCTTCCGTATGCCGTGTTTACCGAAGTTCTCTACGTTATTAGGCATAACCCGCAAGGCTCTACGCTTGGCAACTCGATCGTAGAGCCTTGGCAGTTGGACGCACATTACGGCAAGTGATCCTTCACGCATCTGCCCCCCTTTAACAAGCATGACCAACAGCTGAGTTTCCAGAAAGAACACTTCCGAAGGATCAAGGTGGAGTCGCCCAACCCCGGAGAAACAACATGCTTAGAGTTAAGCTAAATGAGCGGGCTGGCGGAAGCGACGGAGCGGGATGGACCGCCACTCTCCGAAGTTCGCCAAGCCCGCCTCCTTCCCCCCTTTCACATCATTTTTCAGTCATGTTCCCCTGCATCCGGAGGTGCAAAAGTCCTGAATCTCATCCGCTCCCGCTGTGCATACCCATATTGCTACATTGATATTACATCAGCCCAATGATATTCTCATGTTGCCTGTTTTCATCTAAGTTAAATCCTTTAAGCATGGTCACCTGCGAACACCATGCAGGAGGCACAGCAGGACGACGCAGGGCATTCTTGTTCAGCCTGATCTCGGATACCTTAGCAGACCCTCAATGAGGCTTTATTTTTCACAGTTATCGTAGAAACTTTCATATTGAGTCATCTCGGTGCGAAATACAACCACAATTCAGCCCATTCTCACATCAAAACGTGGAGGATGGCACCCAATGCGGCAGCCAAACACACCACCCCTCCAACAACCAACCCATGATCCGCAGCATTTTCGTCACCATCGTTGCCTGAAGGGCATTCGATTGGTGGATTCTGTGCCTCGCACGCCCGAGCAGTGACAGCAGCAGAGATACTCGACGCGTCGGCCTCGCTCATCTTGATCTTGCAAGGGTTCGGCGTGACCGTTGATGAAGCCACCACAGCACACGTATCGCCGCCTGGCCACTTTGAGATTCCGGTAGAGTTGAGCGTATCAGTCACGCTGATGGCGACACCCGCGTCAGATGAGCAATCCTGTCCGTTTGTGGCAGCCATGAGATCCACACTTTGCCCGGCAGTCTTGGTTGTGAAAATCATGGCGTTGGACGTGTTATTGCTGGGAAGTTCGTATGGGTACTTGAATGAATCCTCCGTGCAGCTGAACCATGACACAGTGTATCTGATCTGCCAGGTCCCCTCAACGTTGAACATGGCGAAGCCGCGGTATTCATAGTATGGGTCGCTGCTGGAGAAGTTGGCAAATCTCACGTCGTACTCCGTGGTCTTGACCGAATCGCTCTTGTTATTGTAGTTCCATATCGAGAATCCGATCTTAAGAGCGAGCCCCGGCGCCAAGTGCGAGTTTTGGAAACCGAAGACAATGGGTAAAAGCGGCGTCGGCGCGTATGTCTCATTGCGGGGGAATACCAGGTCAACTTCCACGACGCCCGACTGATCGCTTGCTGCGACGGTGGTTGCTCCGAGGATGGTCCAGACACAGGCTAGAAGGAGCCGCCAACTAGTCGTCCATAATGTTGTGTACATGCTGACGCTCTACCAGATCCGGAAGCTTGATGGGTAGCAGCAGGCGATGCTCGATGCCTCGGTTTCGATGGGGCAAGATAGGCAGGCAATAATTTCGTTGCGATGGGGAAAAAGAGGCACGGAAAAGTAAGAAACATGGAATTTTATACAGATGGATGGGCAAAGAAAGCGCCTAGCCACCCCCACTATTCCGGGCTATTTCCCGCCATCCTACCCATTTCAGCCTGCTTGTTCAGTGTGTGATCCGTCCCTTGACTGTGTGACGAGAAAAAAGAGTTGAATTCAAGCACGAGAGTTCACGTTGGTGCCGATTGGCCGGCTTGGCGCAAACAGTTGCTTCTACAATGTGACAGCAACCAACAGAGTTGATAGGCTAGTTGGTCCGATCATCCTTGCCGCGGGTGCCTACATAATACATGTATCGAATCCTTCTCGGCAGCCTTGCCAATAAGCGGAAGCAGTATTAAGCAATGATCACGCACGCCGCGCTTGGCGCCAAGGTGGTACCTGAGAGACTTGACATGTCTCGGCAACTCTGAACCGTTCTCTCTTTCTGCGCCACCGGCTGGGCCGTGTAGAGTTACACTCAAGAATTCATCGAGCGGATTTCGGGTTTAGATATTATTGAACGGGGACGAGCGTTTGCCGCTGTAAGTCGGATCTTGATGATAGTTCCTGCATTGTGCTTTCCGAAGTCGAATTGGTTCCTATGACCGGAAGTGGGATGTTGTCAAGGTCGAGTCGATGAGAAGTCTTTTCTTTCTGCCTTGAAGGATTACACCTAGCGAAATTTGAGTTCCTCGTTGGAAAGAGGAAACAATCTGTCGGAGGCGAGTATAAGACTCGGGCTTCCAGGCCGCGTTCAAGTGTCGCATGATTACCATCATCAACATCATACTTCTCTTGTCTTTCTTTAGGGTATTTCCTCTCTGCCAATTATCTCCTCAAGATGCAGATCACTCATTTCATCGCCGCTGCGGGAGTTCTCCCTGGATTAGTTTCTGCTGGGTCAGTTCTCTCGCGGCGCGCTGTCGACTGCGCCTTCTCCACGGCCCCTAGTAAAAGTGACACTTGCACAACTTTTGCGAGCAGCTGGGGGCTCTCTGTCGACGATCTCCAGAAGTTGAACCCCGGAATCACCTGTCCTGCACTAGACACCAGCAAGTCGTACTGCGTGATCGGTACTGTCACTAATGACCCGGAGCCGACGACTACGACATCCCAGAGCACTACCCCCATCACGTCAATCACTTCCAAGACCTCAACTACTACCACATCCTCCTCTACCACTACCACCGCTGCGGCCCCTAGTAACTCCCCAACTATGCCCGGCCTCGCAGCCAACTGTGATGGCTTCTACAAGGTCTCTTCCGGTGACTCCTGTGACGCCATCTCATCCAAGTACGGCATCAGCACTGCTCAGTTCAAGAGCTGGAACACCGAGATCAACGCTGGTACGTATAATCATTTTTACTGCTCGGTTTCAATCCTCTAACATGTCGCCCAACAGATTGTACCAACCTCTGGCTCGACTACTACGTCTGTGTCCACGTGCCTGGCGCGGCCACCACCACTCAAGGCACCACTCAGCCGACGACTCCTCCTTCCACCGGCCCGACACCCCAGATGCCTGGCATCGTCTCCAACTGCAAGACATTCTACCAAGTCAAGTCTGGCGACAGCTGCTGGTCTATTTACAGCGGCGCGGGCATCACGTTTGAGCAATTCCTTTCGTACAACACACAAGTTGACTCGAGTTGCAGCAATCTGTGGCTGGGTTATTATGTCTGCACTGGCGTGTAAATTTGATGTCTCTGGTTTATGTTGGCCCAGATACACGTCGGACGTAAAGTTGACTTTCATCATGTTGGTGTCAGTCTAGCATGGTGTGACATTGTGTCAACTAATTTTCAATTCCCCAAGCTTTCAAGTTCTAAACATCTCATCGTTTCCTGTAAATAAGTTTGGTCTTTTCTTAATGCTAGTATTCTTATTCGTCTAATGATCTTTCCAACAGGAAAACAAGAAACAAATGCACAATCACTACAAATCCAGCATGTGGATGAATTACTTATTCTTCATCAGACTGTTAAGAGTTTGAACCTGGGGTCCGTCATCGGCCACGTACCCCTTATCAAGAGTTCGATGACGGACCATTCTTGTACTACAGGAAATTTGTCCGCAAAAACCAAGACTGAGTCGTTCCTTGATGGGGACCAGTCGATCCCGTCTTGCTGTGCCCACTCTTTAATCTGAAGTGCCGGTGACCCACTCTAACCCTCCAGTGACATGCTTGACGAAGTACTCCTCAGAATAAGACTCATTAGTGTGTCCCATACCAGTGTAGAACGCCCTAGCCACGCCCTCGTACATAGAGTACCACGAAATAGAGTGCATGGGAGGCATGTGCTGAAGCTCTGGAGATAGCGTGATCTCGTCGATGTATGTCTCTTCCACCTTTGCGAGAACTTTGTATGCAGAATCATCGGCAGGATTAGTCTTGTATGCATACCACTCGTCCGTCCGGTTGTGGCTCTCTGGAAGACCAGAGGTCGAGGGATGGTCAAAGTCGAGAATTGTGACGATGTCTGGGCGAATGTTGCCATCTAGAGAGGGAAAACGTTAGAAGTTTCTTATGTTTAATTGATAATCGAGCTTATTGTTAACTCACTAGGAGGATATCGCTCTTTCTGCGCGTCGTCACAAATGTCGTCTGTCTCACAAGGGTGGGATCGGAACTTTGGCGAGGTCAATAAAGCTAGGAAAGGTGGGAAACCCGACACTGCGTCTTACCTGTGCACCAACAAGCTTGGTGAACCAGTTAGGCATATCGTCTCCAAAATCACCGGCTATATTTGAAAACGTCAGACATGTCTTTAGCGCTGTGAATACATCCATCAACTTGAACTTACCGGCGTGAATGCCTAGCCAAGAGCCACCGTTAAGCAGGAAATCGTTGAGAGCATCCGACTCATTAGTTGACAGGTAGTTGCCGGTCGTGGAGATGAAGACCAGAGTGCTGTAGGCGGACAGGCTCCCGTTGGTGAAGATGGCAGAGTCTTCTGTCGCCGCGACTGACCAACCCTTCTCATTGGCAATGGAGCTCACGAGCTGGATACCATGAGGGATGCTAATAGCTCAAATGCCCTAATTAGACAGAGAGAACAATAAATAGGGAGCGCGATACATGCCTTGCATGACGATAGCCAGCCGTCTTGGAGAAAAGGAGGAGGCTAGGAGTTGCAGAGGTTGAAGCGTGTGCAACATGACTGGCAGCAATAGCCACGGCCGCAAGAAGAGTTGTAAACATGATTGAAGTTTGAGAGATACGGCGAATGCCTTTTCTGGTAATTATGGGGGGGATTAAGATCGATGTTAGCGTGAGATTGGGTTTAGACCTGCATGATACTACTTGTAGATATTTATAAGTCTGTTAAAACCTGGTCAGGATTCTCTAAACCATCTACGATTTTCGTGATTTTCCACGTCAAAGCGAAACCGAGGAAAGAACATCATGTTGAGTCTCCATAGTTGCACAGCGTACGCGCATTTCCACAATAGGGTAAGAAATTTATGGCTTTCGTCGGATACAAGTATGCTTAAGTCCCAATAGGGCTGAACTTGTTGTACTTCTCTGTAATTGTAGGTCTACAAGCGAACAGCTGTACATTTGCGACTACCTCGAGGTACTTGCTTCTACCTTTTCAAAAATTTGAGCGATTCTATTGTCAGCACTACCTTCCGCTTTACGCGTAGACACTGCTAGGATGATGGCACTAGAGGAGTCAACTCTGAGTCTTGTAATCGTAGATCAAGCATCATGCTCCTTGGTTTTCGGCCTCAAAACCTGTCTCGTCCTAGGGCATGAAGAACGTATCAGATGTGGCGACGGAATGATTCAAGAGGGGAACATGCGAGTGTGTGTGGATAGACTCAAATCCGTCATGGTGGCCTGTCATGAGTTTACGGTGGATGACAGAAGGGTCCAGGTATTGGGGCTCCATCTGGCATATTGACATGGCCAGATTCCCTTCCGACAACGGCATCGGACGTTGCCCGGATAGCCCACATTACTCTCAGCGCGGGCTATCTACACGAAACTTCTCGCAGCTTGCCAAGTTCTCGACGGTAAGTTTCGCAGGAGCTGCGTGATGAAATAGGTATCGACAGCAATGAAAGGGTGCGGAATTTTCGAGAGACGAGAATCTAGAATGAGCTCGATCGTATCTCCGCTGAAACTCCGCCGAGTTTCCGCTAAAGAACATTCCGCCGACAGGAACCACCACCCAAATCCTTGGTACAAACAAGTTAGTGAGAAGTATGATTGAATCAAGGATCTGCCAAAAGCCAAAGGGGGAGGTAAAGACTTTTTCCTAATCACGCAATGCGGCGCTAAACTGTCCAATGGGGAAGGTGAATGTACGTGGATAAGAGAGAAGTGGACGTGGTTCATCCGAGTGCAGTTCATCTTGGCGCTGACGATGCGTTCCGATTACCGATTGAAGGCCCCGCGGCAATCAATGAATGCCGGTCTTGTGACGGCAATTCCCAAGGCTTGTTGCCCCATTTGACGGCGTAAGAGCCCTATTTGGCAATACTCTAGAGCTCCCGACCTGCCTCATCTAGGCTCATCCCTGTTTACACGCGGCGACGTCCGTAAAGGGTTGTTAAGCACGTGAACAGCTCTATCATCAGTACGGCGGAAAATATTCCATGCTGCTCTTAATGAACGTGTAGTCAAAACTACGGTTCCAAACTCAGCGCGGCTGGCAACATCTTGTGTTCACGTACATGAGCCAACAGGAGGCTTGATGTTGGGTGCTGAAGCTCTAACATTTCATTGTTAGCGGCAAGCGGCGGGCTCGCTGATGAAATCAATTAACCTCCGAGCTGTTCCACCATTTGTGGGCGGAAATGTTCCATCAAATATGTTCTTCGTGGCCGCGTGACAAGGTCGTCGTTTTCAATACCTGAATCATGTCTGCCAAGTAGTCAAGTACGGTACGAAGATATCAAAATTCGAAGCTTTTCAGTTCCGATACCCCCGGCTCTTCATTCTTCCTCGACATAGCTATCCTGTCGAGTGCTGGATGGCATCGGTACATAAGCAGATACGCGTATATACTTGGAATAGCAGTGAAATACGTGCTGATCCCATCCCATTCCACTCACATCTTCGAATGAAGAAAGTGATGTTGGGAACAGGGGTAGAGGAACCCGGGATACGTCTGTACTGACGCCATCCGTACTCGACAGGACGGCAAATTTGTCGTGTTATTCCACTCGGAACCTATACATTCGTGAGTGTAGCCGCTGGTATCGGCTTCAGCTTCTGCTTCGGTCTTCGCATGTTACAGTTTGTCCACCACGCAGGTTCAGACTTAAATCTTGTGGCAATTTGGTACCATTCGATTGTCAACTACCTTGAGATATCCAGATGATACCACAACATTGTGCCAACTTATTTCTATTCAAAGATTGATTTTGAGCAGGTACCGTGTACGGTGCTTTACCTTTGTGGAAATCTAAGGTCGTTTTATGCTTCCTGCCCTATTCGCAATTTTTCATCTAGAATCAATAAGTGATGACCGTCCCTGCGGCCAGTTCAGGAAATGCGAGGCCGGATGATCATTCTGGAATGATCAGACATGCGCAATTTGTTATTATGTCGCTGCGTTCGTTTTGATGGCAGCGAATCAAGCCTGACTTTGAAGCCTCCATTCCGCCCAGCTGCTGTAGCACAAGTCAACCTCCAAAAGACTAGCATCGAGGGGTTATACGAGCTGAGGCTTGGCTGCATGTCGACAACACCAATTGGAACATTACATTCTGTGTCAGCTGCATCATGCATTCGACAGAAAGAGACTTACTTTAGTTGCTTACCTGGGCGGGGTAGCCTTTGTTTCTTGACCTATAAATACGAATAAGTTGTGTCATGCACGCTGGCAGGCTTTCAACCTTTCCTGCCATAATCAGTTGACCGAGTTGGTTGGGGAATTGATCAACCGGCTTTACTTCAATCCTCGACTCTAACATTTTCAACATGACAACTCTTCAATATCTTGCAGTGTTGGTACTTGGTGCCAATGCTCTCGCTACTTGGCCACCGCAGGCTCCAGTCAATGAGACCTGCAATGTTGAGGGCAGCATCAAGCCTGCATATGGGAACTATGGTCTCGGGTCAAACTTTGATAACGCATACGAATGCTGGGAGCTATGTACCGATGGACGCCGCCCACCTCGATGCCAGTCTTTCTCGTATCAGTCGGCCGCTAAAGAATGCAAGCTATTCGATGTCCCTGTAGAAGACGGCGTGGACAAAGAGGATGGCACGGGTGTACTCTTCTACGACAGGAACTGTTTCGTATACACCCCACGGCCGGGGGTGAATATCAAAGACTAGACTGACCAAATACACTGTGTGGTCATTTACCTAAGCCGATAATTTCTTAGACGCGTGCCTCTGTCTGCAGTTGCTTTCATAATAGCTCTCCCCGTAGCCTTTTCCAGATGAACAACTTAGTCTACACCAGACAACTCCAAGACGCTCCGCCAGTGTTGCTATCAAACACTTCTGATTTGCGAGCCGATGCTTACTGAAGCCATCTCTCGCCAAGCTCCAATCGCTTTCCATCTACCGTAGCTTCGGAGGGCTTTGCGTCGACTACCATGCCGATCATGCGAACCCACTCGTTAGTTCTATTTGCCCAGCTATTACAGACCATACGGGTTAGCTCTGGTGTTCAAGAATGACATGTTATTTATCAAAGAGACATGAAGCATACGAGTGCATTGCCCCCCGT